GAGAAAATTTAAACTCATAGAAGCAGGGGAATTTGTTGAAACTCATATAGTGCATGCTCACTCTGGAGCCCTCAAGAACACTCCCTTTTTATTCTTTTTAATATGTACTATTTCCCGAGTAGTTGAGGTATTCACTTAAACTGATTTATCCTTAGGCATATATGTATAGTAAATAATTACTAATCATTTTTTTTAACTTGGTGTTTACATTGTCTTATGGGGTACAGTTTCATAGGTACTGGGATTCCCTCCCACCCCTCCCCGTATGGTGGATTCCTCCACCCTGTTGTGAGACCTCAGTTCAAAATCAGTTGAGACACCTTCACCGCAGGCATATACCAGGCTCAGAGTCCAGCATCATATTATCCAGATAAGTTCATCCGCTTCTTGGGGAGACCTTCCCTGGTCTGCAGGCATGGCCCAGAGAGCAAGATCCCGATCAATTAAGAGCCCCAGCAGCAACAGTATATTTCATTATGGAGTTAATTGACATAGTATTGAGTAAACAATATGTTAAAATTACATGTAAGTTCTTCACAACCTCCTGTGACTATTTCAATGACACCTCATCAATTGAGGTGCACAATGAGTTTGGGGGGGGTTGCAGAGAAATCTCTCATACCTTGGTGATGGGTACTTGTTCTTTGTGATTCCTTGATGACCTTGTGTGTGTATGTGAGAGTGTGTGAATGTGTGTGTGTGTGTGTGTGTGTGTGTGTGTGTGTGTGTGTGTGTGTGTGTTGGGGGAGGGGGTTTAGGAGGAACCTTGTTGGTCACTTTAGAGGGTGGAGGCCCAGAGCTGGAACTAGGTAAGGACTGGAGAAGGTTCCTCTCCCATTGTCCCGCAGGAAGTTTATTGATCTTCTGGTTCTGATGACCAATCATGGTTCCTGGCTGTTGCTCTGATATAGTTGGTTCCTATGTGGAAGGACTCGGGCTTCTTCCATCTCGTGTAGTTTGTCCAAAGAGGGGGGATGTCTGTCCTATGGGTTCTCGGCATCCGGAGGCATTCCAGATCCCCGTGTTCTCTTTGGCAGTTGTGATGACGTTCTTGGTGTCCGTTCTGATAGACCTTGGTGAGAGTCCAGGAGTCCTTATGGGTGGGATACAAGCCACCTCCTGTCCCGCTGTTCCGCTCTGGGGTTCTCCCATATTATGTGCATATGACCACCTGTTAATAGAGTGTTTGGGACATTCCTGATTCCCCCTGTATGTCATTGTAGTTTTTGCTATTGTCTAATGCTGATCTGGATCTATCAACTTTAAGATACCTATCTAGTTCCTGTAGGTTACACTACGCGGCTTCCTAGCTTTTTCAAAGGAGATGAGAGATTTCTCTGTGTTCCCACCCAGTTACTGTGTACCACAAGGAATTGGCAGTATATTGGGAATTATAATCATTCAAAACATGTGTGGTGAGACCGTATTAGCTGCAAGTTCATCTTAGGAAGATTTATAGTCATTGGAAATCCTTAGGGTTGCTTGGTGTCCCCATAACACCTCAGTTTCGGCATGGAGCTATCTGAGCAGCATTCAGAGAACCAAGTTCCCAGGGCTCCCTGGCCAGGCGGCCAGCAGGCAAAGCCTGGCGCCAACTGGCACACTGGCTGCCCGTAGCAGTCCCCCGAGTGAGCATGGGGACTGCTTAGTTGCTTACCGGGTTAGAAGCAGCAGGGCCTGGGGACCCCCCTATAAATACATTTTGAATCAATTGCAACACGTGGGGTATCTCTTAGGAATAGAAAAAAAAATTACTAGTTATGCAGTTGGGTAAATTGTGAGATTCTATAGTTTGGTGTTGCTACCCAAGGGAACATGGCTGTCATAGTATCAGGGAAATGTATACTGTCGACACATTTGCAAGTGGATTTTCATAAAGCCAACAGAAAACCACAAAACCAGAAGTAGAAAATGTAGTATAAGATAGCAATCCCAAGTGTCTGGACATCTTACTACTGTTCTACTATACACAAGTCTGTTTTGTTTTCTAGATGCAGTCTTTACTATGTAAAATCACTGTAAGTATTGAATGATTCTTTATTCCCCATTTTCCTGCTGTGAAATGTAAACATAATGAAAGGAGAGATCCTGACTGTGTTAATCTCAGTCAAATGCTAGGATTTTAAAGCACGGATGGGATATATTAGTCACTCTGCAAATACTTGTGAGATGATTGAAACTAATATTTCTGTAAATAATTGAGTTTATAGAAATAATAGACAGTACAAATCATCTCCAGAAATCTATTTTATATTCTAATTTTTTCTCAATGAAAATAAAAATCTACCAGGCAATGTCTCTCTCCCCACACTATAGCACACTAAGATATCTGAACGATAAGTATTGGTTTGACAAATGCACACTCTTCCATTTTGACATAAATATTTTAAAATTCAGATTTTCTTTTTTCAGATTTGGAGAATACCTTTAACAAAGAGATGAAATTCAGAGTTTGATAATTGCCCAATGGAGGATGGGTCTTGTGGCAACTCCTTCACTGACAGTGGGATTAAGATCAGAGAGAGATTTCTTTCATGACGGAGAAAAAAATAAAGGATCACAATTATTTTGTACCCAACTGAGCTGAAACACATGAGACTAATTCTATTGGGGCGTTAGAAAAAGCCAGAGTCTGTCACTGTTGGTTTTTAAATACAGAGTCCAGGTGGTGTTTTCATCTTTTTTTGCCCATTTGAAGGTCATACCTTTGGAAGACAAAAGGGATATGAAAATGAACAGCTGATTGCTTAAAAGGCATCAAAGAGCAAGATTTGCTGTTTTTAGACCATTATGCTAACAAAAACACTAATGCCTCCAGAGACAAAATATGTCTTCTGAGTTCAGAGAAAATATATTCACTGATATAATCACAAAGGTTCTGCACCTTGAAGAGAGGGATGAATGACACAGGGGAATGACAATACAATTAACACAGTGAGTACCAAGTGAGAATTCAGTGAGGAAAATTAATAGTACAGATTCTTACTACTTAGAATTAGAATACAACTTGTTTTTTTTTTATATTTGCATACAGTAGTGGTAGTGATATTAAAGATAATATTAAAGAGGCAAATATGGAATTGAGAACAGAACTAAATATCTCTTGATTAGATATAGTGATTGAGAATAACAATTGGAGTATAATTTTATGAAAAAATTGTATATAGTTATGTATAAATCAATTACCTTCATTAGAAAAGGTACCGGAGGAACTTTACTTTGAAAATGGGCTAGCCCTGCTTGACAAGCCCAGCACATGACAAGCTATTGAATTGCCTTGCACTGATAATTTTCTCTTTCAAAGTTTTAGATAGAAATCACTCAATCTTAAACACAGATACCTATCATATATTATGGACAAGAAAAAATTAACAAGGTGGTATTTTAAGTGATTACAGCATATTTTGGGAAAAAAATTACTTTCTAGTAGTTCATATTTGTCAAATAACAAAATGTGGTTGGTTCTCTATAAGCATTTAGGAGAGAACAGAAAACAAATTTCATAGAAAGGAGTAAAAGAACAGTGATGGTTTTCATATCATGCTCCTTGGGAAAGATGTGGCAATGTCTGAAAAAGCTTGTTTGTCACAACTCCAGAATGATACTGGGCTTTACTGCATAGATGTTAAAGATGCTGGCAACAGCCTACCACTTCAGGAATCATTCTCTGTAAGAAAACTTTGGCATTGATTTTGGAATAGCTTGCTCTAACTTTTACCACAGCTCCATGAAATATGTGAGATTATAACAAACAAACAAACTGCAAATTGTTATAATGGGAGCAAAACAAAAACTGTCATGGCCACATTAAGCCTCCCAGTTGGAGTCCTGCACCATGCTATTGTAGACTGAGCCTCTGGCATTGGCACCAGCCTCCCATGCACATGCCAGCTTGTGTCCTGGTAGTTCCACCTCCATTCCAGCTCCTGGTTTATAGGCTGGGAAAGCAGCAGAGGATGGTCCAAGTGCTTGGACCCCTGCAACTACATGGGAGACCTGGAAGAAGCTCCTGGCTCCTAGATTTAGATCAAATTGTTTCTGGCTGCTATTGCCATTTGTGGAGTGAATCTCTTTTCTTCTTTTCTGTAGAAATCAGCTTTTCAAATAAAAATATATAAAATATTTTTAAAATTCAGTGTTGAATTTGGATAGAAATGCTTACAGACTGAAGAGAGCCATTGTCATGGGGCCTCCAATCTTATACTGTTTCTGTCACATTCTTGTGTAGAATAAAGAAGGAAGTAACTAATAGTTATGTAGTAGAGGTCTGTGATGGGCTAGGATTAAATGTATAGAATTGAAAACTGCCAGCTGTTGATCTTTTAAGTTCTATTTATAAGCCTCATTTTCTACTTTTTTTTTTTCTTTTCTATCAATTGGAGATAAAATGGCATGTAACTCATGAATATTTTGTGGCTATTAGGTGCAAACGACAACAAAATATTAGCATACTAGGAACAATGCTTGATAAGATTGTCTCCAAGATAAAATAGAAGAACTAGAGCTTAGTACTTAATTTCCAATGGAAAATTGGCCAATACATCGAAAAGCAAACATTCATAGATATCTTGTTAATTTCCAAGGTATCTTCAAAGTTCGTATGTCTGGTATGTCCTATGCAGTCACAACCCTCTCTTTTCACATCTATACAGGCAAAAATAGGTCTTAACAAAACTGATGTTGTGTGTGTGGCATAGCAAGTGAAGCTGCTACCTGTGTTTCTGGCAGCCCATGTGGTGTTGCTTTGAGTCATGGCTGCTCCTTGCAATAGGGTGTGGGAAAACAGCAGAGGATGCTTCAAGTCCTTGGACGCTGTCTGCATATAGGAAAACCAGCTGAAGCTCCAGGTCCTGGGCTCTTTACTTCAAAACTGCAAGTCACAATTGTAGCTATTTGAGAAGTGAATCGGCCTGTGAGAGATCTCTCTTGTTCTCCCTCCCCTGATCTTCTTTGTCTGCTCTTCAAATAAATAAATAAACCTTTAAAATCAATGCTTATTTGTGCTCGCTTCGGCAGCACATATACTAAAATTGGAACGATACAGAGAAGATTACTATGGCCCCTGTGCAAGGATGACACGTAAAATCAATGCTTATTGGGGCTGGTATTTGGGTGTAGTCAGCTAATTCTCTGCCTGTAGCACTGGTATTCCATATGAGTGCTGGTTTTAATTCTGGCTGCACCAATTCTCACCCAGCTCCTTGTTAATGGACTGTTAAGGCAATGGATAAGAGCACAACACCTTGGGTCCCTGCAACCATGTACGGCTCCTAGCTCCTGGCTTTTGATTAGCCCAAGTTTGGCCACTGTGGAAATGAACCAACAGATTGAAAAGCTCTCTCTTTCTCCTTGCTTTGTAACTTTGACTTTCATATAAAAACAAACAAATCTTAAAATCAATAACACTTATTAATAACAGTTAGTAGGAAACTTACTTGTAAAAATTGTCATGACATGAAAAAGACATGAAACAATAAAAGTCTATTATACAAAGGACCTTATACTGCACTGTTAATGATCATTTGAATTCTGGATGCAATGGTTATCTTAGAATGCAGAGAGTGACTGATTTGAGGCTTAACAACTTATATGTTAAAAATGCAGGAACTTAACAGTCTGCATTTTCATTTCAATCCACTGGAATGTTGTGGTTAGTAAAACAAAACAAAAAATGCTTTTAAATCTGAGTTTAGCTTCAGCAGAAGGAGAGTGATCACTACATGGAAATATTCAATGCTTGTATTTTTCTGGAGTCTTAGGGGTCTCTGGGATTATGTGGATTATTAAAAGTTATGTTTATCTAAGATTATGTTCAATGAGAACAAAAATAAGGCTAAAAATCATATCTAGTGAAAGAAAATAAAGAGCTGGTAATTTTTAACATGCAAAATAAATATATGTGAAGTTTCCATGACAATTGTCTCTGATAATCACCTTCAAACATTGGAAGTGTTCTAATGACAAAGAATTGTTTTTCTTTACTCATTTATACAGACACACACACATATATACACACGCCATTTTTATTTGCATGATAACATTCCATAGGCACAGAAATTTGCCTTCCAACCTCCATTTTACTCCACTGTTTTCCTCCATATTATTACAATATTATAAGCTTTCAGTAACAATCACAAGTCCAACATTCTGTTATTTAGTGTTTCTTGGCATTGTAGATATAGAATATACAGAAAGTCCAGCATCCTTTTGTCAAGACATATTTAATAATTTCATTGAGAATCTTTCTTTTATTCAGGAGTAGAACTTCTGATATTTCTATATGATACCAAGCCCCATTCACGCAAAACACAAAACAAATAATTATATACATAAACAGGTAAATACATATACTGTCCTAGATGAAATGTATGAATGAAACTAGCATAACAAGATATGAGGGCATATTGTGCTATGCATATCTACTCCAAGATAAAAGGAGGACTCCCAGTATAACTGTCAAACATACTTTGACAATTTGATATTAGGTATTCTACCATTGTTATTTGTCCCCTCAATGCCATGATAGTCTTCAATAGAAAGATGCTGCTGAAGGTCTAACCTGTTGTAATTATAAGGGGAAAATGGAAGAGGAGGTGAATGGGGGGAATCCCTATACCCACCAACTGCATTATAGAAAATAATAATAAAGAGAAATATTAAATTAATATCAGAAATAAAATGCAATGCCAGGGCTAGATAATTGTTTTACTTGGGAGCATTGTTAAAAACTTTTTTGTATTCTGACATTTTGGTAACTCCCAGATATTTCCAACGTATCTATACACATATACTGCAAGAAAGGAACAATAAATTGAGTTGACAGAATTACTCTTCAAGCCATCCTCAAGAATTGTTACATCAGTGATATGATGAAACACTGCTTGAAGAACACCATGCTTTACAAAATTTTGGTTATTGCTAGTAATGCTTCTGAACATTTTATTAATGGTCATAATTATAATATCAAAGTGATACATTTCCCAATCAATGGAACGAGAATTTATTTCAGCTTCTAAGACTGACTACTTGCAAAGATCTTTTCCTCAGGCTATTGCTATGTGTGAAGAATAAACAGGATTACAACATTGTCGAATGCAAGAAGTATTTTGTTTGGGATTGTGGTGATATCACCAAGAATGGATAAATAGAATCTGGTAGAAGGCCCTCAAGTGATTCATCTATAAATATAAAGGATTTGATAAAGATGAGAATGTTGAAGAAATTCGACAAAACGTGGTTGACAAGGCAAGCAACTTTAACCTATGTGTGGGTGAGGATAAACATGAGGAGTAACAGGTGGGCGTTCCTGAAGACCTAACTAATGACCAATTCCTGGATCTGGAGGAGGAATTCATTGCTAAAGCAGAGGGGAGAGACAAGGAAACTGCAAGGAAAGAAGATGAAATTGAAATCTCAAGAAAATACACAGTGAAGAGGCATTTGCATACCCGAATGGTCTTTAATTTTTTTTCTTTTCTAAGCACAGACACTACATTGAAAGGTTTACATTAACAGAGAGATATATTCAAGTTAATTATTTGCTTACAAATAAATTTACCATGGGAAGAGGAAACAAACCAAGAAAATCATCATTGAGATGTAGGAAGTCTTTACATGATGAAATGCTTAATACCATGCTACAGCTGCCTACAATCAGTGCAGTTAATATGCTAAATTAATTTGTAGCCTACTCTATCTAGATGCTGTCTGGTGTTTGCATAGTAACAGTACCGCCAACACAGTCTCAGAATGTATCTTTATTGTTAAGCAATGTATATGCATCATCTTGTGTTTTCTTGCTAATGACAAGTAATTAAATCTTTATTCTGGCTTAACTCCTGAAATAAAGCCACGAGTCATATGTGCAAATACATAAAGGATTTTAAAAAGATTTTATAGAAGGGAGTCAAGATGGCCGACAGAGTTAGAATGATGTAATCTAGGGTCCTGGGAGCAGCCTGAAGTGAGCCTGAGAAGAAAACAACCATGGGGTTCTCAGCCCCTCCAAGACTGAGAAAAATGGCACACAGCAGTAAAAAAAAAAATCGTGAAATACTTGGATCAGCAACCTAAGAAGGACACAGAGGGAGCCCTGGACTGCAGAGACTTGAGTGAAATTCGAAATTCGGGGAGTGAACCTCGATGAGTTGCTAAAACAGGGGAGAGCCCACCCTTAGCAGGAGGCGAAATCGGGCAAGCAAGTGTTCTGGGAGTGAACCTCAGTGAGTCGCTACCAAAGGGAAAAGCATGCCCTTAGCGAGAGGCAAAATCGGGCTAGTGAAATCGGGCTAGCGAAATTTGGGGAGCGAACCTTGGTAAGTAGCTAGCACAGGGAAGAGGAACTTGAGAAAAAAAAAATGATGAAATGTACCTGAACTGTTTGCTCGGGTCTAAACAGGCACAGATCCTGGCAGACAGGCCTGAGAACACCAAAAAGAAGAAAAAAAAAAAAAAAAATCTAGGGTCAGCAAGAACTCAGGTCATCCACTAGGTGGCAGCAGAGGTCAAGGGTGTGAATCCAGCAATACCTTATGTCACATAGACAAGGGGCAAGGTCAGAGGAAAATAAATGAGTCAGAGGAAGGAGCCAGGGCCACCCCAAAAACTCACCAAAAGGCATGGTCAATCGCAGAGACTACAGATGAAGAAATTGAAGATGCATCAGATAAGGAGTTCAGAAAAATAATTATGAAACTTCTCAGAGAGAAGAAAAACGATGGGAGGAACTTAAGGAATTCAAACACCACATAATCACAGAAACAAAATTACTCCAAACGAGATCCTCGACCTCAAGCACAGTTGAGAGCTTAGCCTCTACAGAATTATTGCAGCAGAAGACAGGATATCCGATTTGGAAGATTCCCAGAATGAAAGCAGGCAGATTATTAACCAACTGGAGACACAATTGCACAAGGCATCCAAGTCGATCCAGGAGATGAACAACAACATCAAGAAGTCAAATATCAGAATTATAGGCCTTCCGAAAGGAGTGGAAAGAGAGACAGGCATACAACCAGTGCTTGATGAAATTATACAGGAGAACTTCCAAAACACTTGGAACATGAGCCCAGTCCAAATCCAGGAAGGCCAGAGAATGCCCCACAGGTTTGACCCAAAAAGATCTTTCCCCAGACATATGGTAATTAAGCTCCCCTCAAATGAACACAAGGAAAGAATCCTGAGGCCAGCACGAAGCAAAGACAAGCTTACATTTAGAGGCAGGTCCATCAGAATCACTGCTGACTTCTCAGAACAGACACTCCCGGCAAGAAGGGAATGGAACGAAGTCTTTCAAATCCTGAAACAGAACCACTGTCAACCAAGAATAATGTACCCAGCAAAGATCTTGTTTGTATTCGAGAATGAAATTAGATATTTTCATAGCAAGGAGAAATTAGAATATGCTAACACAAAACCAACTCTACAAAATCTCCTCAGAAATGTGCTACTCCCAGAGAAAAAGGAAGGAAACCATAAGCAAGGATGGTAAGTGGGAAGACCTCCCCACTAAAACCCACACAAGGAAAGACAATTAAATGCCAACATAAACAAAAACACATGCGCAAGGCAGGACAAAATCACAATATCTCAATATTAACCCTTAACACGAATGGCCTAAATTCATCACTCAAAAGACACAGATTAACAGACTGAATTAAAAAACAAGACCCAACTATCTGCTGCCTACAAGAGAAGCATCTAACCAGGAAAGACGCTAAGAAACTGAAAGTGAAGGAATGGAAAACGATATTCCATGCCAATGGATGAGAAAAACAGGCTGATGTAGCAGTCCTAATTTCAGATGATATAGACTTCAACGTGACAAACATAAAAAGGACAGGGAAGAGCATTATATATTGTTGAAAGGGAAGATCCATCAGGAACTAATTACCATCCTTAACATGTATGCTCCAAATCCAGATGCACAAAGCTACATGAAAAAAATCACTTACAGATTTAAAGGGAGATATAGATGAACATATGATAATCCTGGGAGATATGAACACCCCATTAACACCAATAGATAGAGCAATGAAACAAAAGCTCACACAAACAATAGAATAGCTGGACTTGGTAGACATCTATAGAACATTTCATCCTAAGGCCTCA